TTGAAATTGATAGAAACCTCATTATATGATGTTAATAACATATTGTATCAATTTGGTATTGAATCTCATTGTCCTTAGGGTACTTCCCTATTGAGGTACCTTAATTGACCATCTCTATATTTAAATTGAGATATGATATTTATTTCAATTGTATCATCATTTTGTAAATGATGGATAGTAGCCAAGTTGTGTATGGTGTAGAATTGGTATAACATTATTTTCAACATTTACAAGTGCAAATTCTCATCATCTGTTGGACCAAAACAAAAAATTTTGTTATAGTGGTGGTTTTTTTACTAATATCCACATGTACAATATCGGAACAAGGAGATGCTCTATAGTTGTGCAGAATCATTCCACCAACAATAAGTTTTTGAAATATTCTTTTCTTAGTGAACTTTGCTTGCATCATAATTATTAAGGAATTGTTTCAAGTAGATGGAAAGTGTTCTAAAATTGCTGTAGATGGTAACATTCCGTTACAGCATAGTTAAATTCTAAGAAATGATTGAGATTTGCCATTTTTTCACAACTGTTATCTTTTAAACAATGGTTGTCATCCAACCCGATGTAAAAACTGTTTGAAATTGTTTCAAATGAACGTGGAGTGGCTCAAACCCGTTGCTTCTTTTCAAAAAAGAGACTTATCCAACCTTTTGAATGAGAATGTATTAACTATACAACAAACTGAAATTTATTTTTTCTTACTGAACTTTTCTTACTTCACAATTATTAAGGAATTGTTTCAAGTAGATGGAAAATGTTCCAAAATCGATGGAAATGGTGGCAGTCCTTAGGGTTTGGGGGTTTGGGGGTTTGGGTTTGGTTAACCTGGCGCCGGACGATTTTGTCCAAAAATCCTGCCTTTCGACCTAAAATTTTTTAGCTATGCCTTCTACACATCTATTTCTATCTACCATATTAATATCTAGTCTTGTCTTTAAGTAATTTTCGAGAAAATAGCCTCTGATTAGAGGTCATTTTTCAATAAAATTTTCCCGCGGAAATTTTCCCGCTTTTAGTATTACAGAACTTTGACAACCTTCAAACTCAATCAAATTAGCAAATAATCTATTTATATAAAATGGAACCCTGCCATGTGATGTATACATCAATGTTACAAATAATTGTTTGTTGGATATATTTCTCTATGTAATATATTGAGTTTGATTGAATACTGTCAATAACAACACTATTAAACTTTTAAAAGGGACCTACATTTTATTTGATAATATCATTTATCTATGTATTGTATCGACAAAAACCTGGTATCATGATTTTATTTTCTATATATTCAATTTGGGAAATGTCGCAATGTCAATACTTAATTGAAATATTGCCATAATACCAATTATTGATTATATATCATGAAGCTGATATTATAGACTTTATTTGATGTATATATGAATATATGATTGAAATATTTCAATTTTGACTTTTCTTAATGTCATGGGTAGTTCACTAAGGTAGTCACTTTGCCATATGACAACTATCTAAGATGATATTGAAATCATTCCAAAATTGATATTATGATAGTATTTGATGATTACAACATGATGAAAATGAAAAGGAATTGATTATTACAATATTTGACATGTAAGAATGTTACCTTTGATCAATTGGATAAGTAGCTTGACAGACATTCCAATTATATAGATATTGATTTCTATTACTCAGATACTTTACAAATATCATTTATAAGAGTAGTGGTATGATATTCTGTTTTTTTATACTTCTTGATATTGACTTGTCATATTATCATGAGTAATTGCTTACATGGTTAAATGACATGTATACTGAATGATGTCCAAATGATATGAAATTGATAGGAACCTCTTTATATGATGTTTATAACATATTGTATCAGTTTGGTATTGAATCTCATTGTTCTTAGGGAACTCTCCTATTAAATTTTGTAAAATCAACATGTACCTTCCTGTGGCGCCATTTCTAATTATTATGATATGAAATTGAATTCTACATCATTATAGATCATCTATATCATGTTGGTAAAGTTTCAAAAGTGGTTCTTTTTCAAGATTTTATCCTTTTCATATCTAGTTGACCATGTGTGATTGAGGGAAGAAATCTATAAATATGAAAGTCAAAATAAATTTGATATTCGATGTTTACTCATTCAAATGGAACATTTTCATATCAGGGTTCAATATGTTTTGATGAGAAACTCAAAAGTTATTGTTGACCTCTTTTACCTCACAACTTCCCTTTTCACTTGATACTTTTATACCTACAGACTTGAACTTTTGAAATTTGATATGAAAGTGATTATAGATGTTGTTAATGATGATATATACTATATAATCTCATTAAAGGATTTTGAAATTATCATTCTTCCTATGGTTTCATTTTAACAATTTTAATCTGACACTATTTATAAAGTTAATATTTTATAAATTGAAAAACTAAATATAACACGTTGTTCTACTCATCATTTACAATCGAGGTGATATAAAATTTAATGATATTTGAATAAGTTTATAATTT